ATCACTCATGTCTCATCATCACTCATGTCTCATCATCACTCATGTCTCATCATCTCTCATGTCTCATCATCACTCATGTCTCATCATCACTCATGTCTCATCATCACTCATGTCTCATCATCACTTATGTCACAGATGATGCCTGTCACAGTGATGTGTCATATGTCATAGCTGTGTTCTATATGTGACGCATGTCACGGACAGTTGGGTTATTGGATGGCACTCGAGTAATACGTGTCACAGACATTTGGTTGTGGGATCTTACAGTGATCTGGTTGTTTCTCTCAGCATCTAGTAAGATTCAATTCCACAACTTACACTAAAGGCATGTATTCGCAAAACTCCATCGACGAGTAACAATGTTTCTATCGTTTCTTACTTGCAAGGATAAACTTACGTAGAAGAAGCCTTCATAAGAATAGCCATGTACGACTGCAACTCATTGTTTTCAGGTCTTCCTTGATCATTGAGAGCAGGAGCAGCACACTGCCTCCAGGAATAAAAGACCCAGCCGTGCTTGCACTCATTGCTGGAGGTACAAATCACCCGATCCTTGCTTTTACATGTTTTATCACATGTAGCTTACAAATGTGCATACAATGTACATACAAATTACGGGTATTTTATGGACTACAGCTCTTGTAACCGGCTTCCATCTTGGGATCCTACGGTGTTACATTTTTATCTCCTGATCTCATGTTGTCACCAGTTTCCATTCTGAGATTCCATTGTGTCATCAGTGTCTGACTCACTAAAAAACGTCACCAATTTCTGTTTCGTGATGCCATCGTGTCACCAGGGTGCGACTCGTGGCGTCCTGTGTTCACCGGTTGGCAATTCGTAGCAGCGTATATTGTTAATGCTTCTCGTCGCTGTATTGTCATTGACAGGTAGCCTAGGCAACCAGGGCCGCTCTAGCAGTATGGCAAACATGTCGGATAGGAGCTCGAATGCGAGCACAGCGACCCTGCAGGACAGAGAAGGCTCGGAGCCTCCCGATGACAGAAGCGACAAAATACAGAAGTAATTCAGTAATTCAGTAATTCAGTAATTCAGTAATGCGCGCGGACTTCATTCTGCTTCTTAATTCTCGCTGATACTGTAAATCCTACTCCGTGTGATAGCGGTGCTATGTGGTTTTTGTATCTTATGCGATCATCAAGGGTGTATTTTATTTTCTGAAATATTTTTACTGTAAGATTTTATGTATACATACACATACACGCATAGTGTGTGTGCGTATGCGTGGGCATGCGTATATATGTACATGCATAGCACACGCAGAGAACTGTAAGAGTTGTTATAAAAACTAATGACTAACAATGACTGCAGGTCACAGGCAGTCCAGTCGGCGCCGCTGATACGATACGACAAGCTAGAACGCGACGAAGTTAGAGACATGCACATTTGTTTTCTCTACATCCTCGAGAACATCAGTGCCGGTTCGTATATTTACTCTAAATTACATTGTTCATTACATAACTAAATACTCTTTCTGCTTTACTATAAATCCTTGTTACAGATGACTGGTGATTTCTAGTGCATGGTTTCTGCCACTAACGACTCAACGTAGCAGTTATTGTGAGCAGTTTTACGATGCAGTTTTACTTAGGATGTAAACATTTGGGGTTATGACGCTTACAAGGTGTCCTAAAATGGATGCTCTCATGTTTGATATCTTGTAGAATGATGATAGATGGTGAAATTTTGCCCCGTTCGCGTCACATTTCCTGATATTTGGAATGTAGTATGGAAATAACCGAGTTGGATAACTGGGTTGAATAAACCCAAGCTGGTCATGCTACATGTACTCTACATATTTTTTTGGCAGAACTGCTGTTGGGTTGGTGGCAGAAATGCTCAGAGTCAGAGATTCTGGACTTCTTCAAAGTGCTGGAGATGTGTCTGACCAACTTCTCCTACCCAGGGCGGAAACAGATCTACGTGCAGCAGTGAGTCATATCACGCTTATTCCTCACTGGTACTATGCCATAGGTACTGTAGAAACATATAGACAGTGCCAGATTGTACTGTAATACGTGCAGCGTTAGAAGATCTTCGGTACTTGTGTAATTAAACAAAAATCATCCAATGTAGTTGGTGATACAGATGTGCTGTAATACCATCATACCTTGTAAAATCATCAAATATAGTTCTGCTGTAGTCCTCTGGTTAGTGGCACGTCTGTGAATTGGTAAAAAGAAGGAGCTATACGTGCATTCGTGTTCGTGACTAACCACGTACAGTTTGAGTTTCGGGATCTGCATCTGGGTTACCATTTTTTTCTGTTTTTTGAAGAATTGGGATTGATGTTCTGTCAGATGTGATTTCCTTATTTTATTGGGCTTTTTTGGTTGAGAATATTCGTGTTCATGTATCATGTTCATTCTCACACTGCACAAAAAAATGTAACTTCCAAATAAGGCAAGTCTAACCTTTTTTTGCTGCAGGGCGTTTGCAGTGAACAACCCCCATCAGAAGGCTCTGACGCTTCCCAGCCGCCGTGCTCCTAACCTGACCAGTAGAGTGATCAGCACGTACAGTGATCGCACTTCTGCCCTCAGTAAGTCAGTTCAATATCAACTAGTTAAGATTTCACCAAAGCGCCGTCTGGAGCAGTGACTCGTGGAGCGTGGTCTTGTGGCGGTCGATATAGTTTGACGTAGTTTTTCATGCCCTCCGTCTATTTGTTTACACAGGTTGACATCGTTAAAACAATGATTCCGATGATTTGTTAACAATGTGTTAATGAATAAAGTGATAATAAAAAATGTCGCAGGTACTGGTACACAATCCCTTATCCAAAATTTCAAAATTCCAAAAGCTTTTGAAAACCGAATTTTTTTCCCGCGGAGTATCACACATGCGCACGACATAAGTCGAGTGGTGTCGAGCGGGACTTTGTGCGGTTGACAGATAACTCGAGCAAGTACAAGGCATCAGTTGTGTTTTTTTAAGTTTAATTTAGAAATTTGATGTAATTTTGTCATGGTTCTAAAGGTTTCGAATCAGGTATTGTGGACCTGTATTAACTTAAATAACTTATACATATCGCACAATAAAAGAAAAGTGGTTTAGCAAACATGACAACATTTTCCATAAAACAGGAGACTTGTTAATCAATCATGGCATTCATAATTTTGTTTCAAAAACAGAAATTGGCTTCATTTAAAAAAAAGAATAGACAATTTTATCAGCTAGAAAACTTTATCACAAAATACATCGGGCAATGCATTTTTGGTAATTTTACATAGTTTAGTGTGGTTTTTGTATGAAAATACCACATTCATGAACCCTCTGACACTTTAAGAAAATCAAAAGCTACACCATGTCAAAACGTGCAAACTGACGTACTAAGACAATTTAATTGATATCAAACAAAGCTCTCCGTTATTATCATTCTGTATACACTTTATAACACTTGTTATACTTGTTCATAAAACATTTTTCCTATAGATATCTTTCTATTTTGCTTTCAGGTCCTGAATTAATCTGTAAGTTTATAGGAATGGCCTATTTAATGCTGAATGTAGTGGCAGCATGGTGTATTGTAGCTCTAGAACTATAGCCCTTCGCTCTGCCACAGGCCTGTGGCAGAGCGAACTGCAATAGTTCTAGAGCTAGGTGAATTGTGATGTTTAGTGGAGCTTGGGTGCAATTACTTATAAATTACCTGACGTGTATTGGCATGATTGCAGTTAAAAACCAGTTAATGGCTCTTAACAATGCGCATGTCAGTGGTATCAGTATATAGTCAAGCTACTGATATGTTTCCATGGATGCACTGTTAAAAATGTAGGAGCGTATTTGCTTAACAGGTTTAGCTTTTGTTATAAAGAAAAATGGTGGAAACCAGACCCTTGCATGTGATAGATTTTCATAGGGCTGCGTTGCTTCATGTGAGCTGTTTGATTACATACGTGGCTAAAAAATATTGCCGTGATCGAATGATGAAGTTTTATTTATCTTTTGGTAAAGTTTTATAAGCTATTCGGCAGCAAACTACTCGAGCATTATTAACTATTTCTCTGTGTGTGTATTTGGGGAGTGAGTGCATGCGCTTTTCAGCTTGTTAGCAACTTGTAATGCATGGGAGCTGGAACAGTGCATTACCACTCTGTGTATTATACACCTGCCATGTTTTGCGGTTTTATATAAGGCATGAATTAAATTAGAAAAAAAATTATACAAAATAGTTTTCCCTGGATGGGAAATGGAATGCACGTCATAGTTTTGCAATGCTCCCGTTTGTTTCCAAGATTTGTAGCATCCTGTTTAGAAAAATATGCTAGCATTTCAATAATATATAAGCAATCTTATGTAGATCTGATTAAACTTCTCCCAGTAATTACCCTTGCCACTAGTAGCAAGCCAGAATATGTTGTATGTGTAATAAAACAAATATTAGAAACTGTATTACATGAAAAAAGTCCTATTTATAAACCAATTAAAGATATTCATTACGAATTTCCTGAGAAAGGTACAACTACAAGTGTACGGCATCCTGGCTCGTACTGTCTACACAATATTGCCATTAGTGTGTAAACCGTGTACGTAAAAGCTTAACATCAGTCAAACGTATCGGTTTGTTTTACATCCCCATGTGATTGACGTTGATATAGGCACGGCATATAGATTATAGGTAGCTAGGCAGAGAGCGAACACCGATCCGAATTCGAGAGAAAAAAACACGATTGCCCTCCTGTAATAGTTCTGAGTTTCCTCTTGTTTTGTGCAGCGGCAATCACTGAGGAGATGGACTCCTACACGGCCCTGCTTACAGCAAGCATGGCCACAGAGGTTGGCCTCATTATCCTTGACACTGTCGCCCTGTTTGCTACCAGCTTCAAGGTACCCTTAATAACGTCTTCAGGGGTAGTTATGGTGCACATCAGTAATATATATATATATATATATATATGTATATTATTAGTGGTAGTAGTGTTATATCCCATTTGGGCAATAAAAATATAGGGTGAACAGTTGCAGTTCTTTTCTTGTTAAAGTTTTGGTGTTGTAGCGTAAGATGGAAATTTATATCTTAGTATTGAGTCAAATAGCAAAATAAAAATCATAAATATTTTTGTTGTGCATTTCAGATGTTATTTAAATAGTGCCAACATAATATATATTTCTGCACTTGTACCTAATAAGAGCTCTCATCTAACCCTATTTCCCTTCTCATCTCCTCGACCCCTCTCCATCTGAGTAGCGGTTATACAACGTAGATGCATGGTTTTTACAGGAGCAGCTGCAGCAGGGTGGTGGAGACAACCAGCTGATGTTGAGGATGTGTGACATCTGCTTGCTCTACCTGCAGATGAACCAATCTGAAGCACTGCTAAAACATCTGTTTGCCTTCCTTAGAAACTTTGTCAACCAGGTGAGGGAGTCTCTTTTTTAAGCAAACTAATTAAATAACTAACCGTGGAGTCTGATCTTCTTTGCACATGCTTGTCGTGTGAGGGAATGAATCATGTGGGATGAAATGTGTGTGTGTGTGCGTGTCTGTGTGTGTGCATGTGTGTGACTGGAAATGAATGGAACGTCAGGTACATTGGTGGAGTAATTGGTATTTGGAATGATTTTACTACATGTGAGTTGTGGAGGTTTTGTATGAATTGCAACTTTCAAATTATACGTTTTTCATAGTAATAATATATTGTAAACTAATGAAATAAAAAGGTCTGTAATAATTAATAGGCACTAGTTGGATTACATTAACATTTGAAACACCTAGCGAAACATTAGTGTTATCTTGCTAATAATGTTAATCTCAGTTAGATCCATAATCAGTACAAAATAACTTACTCTGACGAAATTTTCGTCCATCTCTTCGACAGATAGAGATCCGATGAAGTTATTTAATCAATTAGTGTTATCATTATCCTAATATTACTTCTATCAGTCAATAACCTAGGCACAATTGCACTTGGAAGGTAGTTTGTGAATGCGTGGCTTTTAACGTGAAAAGGGTCTATTTGTTCCATCGTTCAATGGAGAGTTCTGTTGACCAAGGTTAATTTTCTGCTCTTTCAGGCTTGGTTGCCCACAGTAATAATAGTATGTGTGTGCGTGTCTGTCTATTCTCTCGCTTGTAGTAGCATTCCCACGTCTGGTTCAATGAGCTCTCTCAAACGGCAAAATTCCTGTATCTGAACATAGGTCACCTGTGTGTAAAGGCACCATATGACATGTATAGTTAGTCAGACGTATAGATGTATCTACATGGTAGTAGATGTGACGAGGTTGCGCGTTGTTAGTGAGTTAGCGTAGCTACAGGGTCACATATGTAGCTTGTCTGCAGATATATAAAGGGTGTGTACGGTGCTCAGACGATGTTGCTTCTTCGTGTACGTGTTTGCATGAGTGTCTGAGACATTTGCTCACCAACTTGTGATTTATTTCAGTATAAAGAAGTTCTGTTTGAGGGCAATGCATCACTCTGTGGTGCTTTCATTACCGAGGTATGTACTGTTCTAATATTTCAGATTCTTTGGTATATAAATATCAAGAAAATTTGGGTTATGTTTGCTAAACTAATTTATGTATTTGTCGTCAAGACTGAATAAACCAGTTAAGTGTGTAACAGTACATAGATAGTTGATGATGATAGACAATGATAATTAGATTGGTGATGTTATTATTTTCTCCCCAACTAGCTATGTGTAGCATTAAAATCACAATCATCTTTATTTGTATACCCATTTCCCTTCCCGATTTTCAACATTCGTTTTCCCCATTTTATGTTAGTTATTGGCATACCACTGTCATTTACTTAATGTAATTTTTATTTAATCTTATTTTGAATTTAGGATTTTTATAATATTCTGGACTATGTATTTCGTGGTTCAAGCTGTATTGTTATTGCATGCATACTAACGTACTGTCACTGTAATCCATACATGAGGTGCCATCCGGGGGTCACAGTGCATGCATGCATATCCTGATCGCAAAAGCAGTGCATCAAAAACTGGTTACAATGTTAGTGATCATTATGAATTGCTCATGCATGTGGTTCACCATGCACCACATGCATATACACGGATGCAAATAGATACATGTGCACACGTGTGCACACAAACGTACACACGTATGCACGACCATACATACACACACACACACACACACACACACACACACAAACGAGCACACATGCACACAGGTATAGTATGACTGTACAAGTTACTTGCATTTGTCAGCTACGTTTGTTTGAGTTGCTATATTGAGGTGTATCTGCGCAGGTTTCTTAGTTATCACAGACGTATCTTTATTACACGTGCTACACTGAGGTTGTTGTTGTTGTGTGTTGGTTCTGTTGCTCGTAGTTGACACAGCCGCATTTGTTGCAGATCCTACACTGTTGCAACTCCAAGTTGCGTAGCACCCGTGTCGAGGCCTGTGCACTGCTCTACCTGCTGATGAGAAATAACTTTGAATTTACAGGCAGGAGAAACTTCACGCGAGTTCACTTGCAGGTGCGCCATTCCGCTACTCACAATCTACAACAATAATTAGCTACAAGCATTAATTACTACTAAATACTTTGGAACCGTTCTCACAAATAGAAGTTTCTACCTTGATTCAGTCATCTTTGTGAAACATTAAGAATTTCAGGCAAGTTCGCCGGCTTTAAAATGTAATTGGGTTTCATTCGGGAGGCAAAACTGATTTGTATATATTTTTAACATTGGTGATGCATGCAGTCACTTGACTTATGATGGACCAATCAGATTTTGGTAGGCTTATGATGCAGTTCAGAGATTACTCAGCAGAAACTATGAATACTCTGCAAAGCTCTGAGTGAATAGAAAGCATGAGTTTTTAACAGTATTCAAATTAGTAATGCTTATTTTATATTTATAATTTTTCGCAAATTTCTATCAAAAATTCAAAAATCTATGCTAGTGTTTGTATTAATGCTACTGTTGGCTTTGTAGGCAATCATATCTGTGTCGCAGCTGCTGGGAGATGCTGTTGGGTTGAACAACGCTCGCTTCCAAGAGAGCCTGTCCAACATTAATAACTATGCCAACACTGACAAGGCCATACAGGTAAGCGACAGTCAGCATTATTTGCAAGTCATTCATTACTGTGACGATCTTTATTTCTTGCACTGCAATTTCAACGTTTTTTTTATCCTTTGTCAATTAGGGTCCCTTGTGAGGCGATGAGGATTGTCAGTCTTTCAGAGTGCTCATCTTATATTGGTTTAATAGATTAGTGTCAAATATCTGATTTATACTTGACAAGAGACGGGTATGTATGTGGAGATAAAAAAAAGGTTTGTCAATTTCTGCGTTGCAGCACACTCCGTTCCCAGCAGAGGTGAAGGATCTGACAAAGCGCATACGTACGGTTCTCATGGCTACAGCACAAGTATGTAAACAAGCGCACAATATACATTCAGCGGTTGTACAGTTCATCCATAATTTCCATTCTAGTCATAGTTGGTAGTTGCTTTTGTCCAAGGGTCTCACTGCACCTACTGTGAACTCTGTGTCATATCATGGTTGAGCAATTGACCAACCGCCTCACACGTAATCCCTACAGCAAATATTCATCATTGTGTGTGTGTGGGTGCGCACACATGCACGCGTGCGTGTGTGCGTACGTGTGTGGGTGTTCGTACGTGCGTGCGTGCGTGCGTGCGTGCGTGTGTGCGTACGTGTGTGGGTGTCCGTACGTGCGTGCGTGCGTGCTAGCGTGCGTGTGTGCGTACGTGTGTGGGTGTTCGTACGTGCGTGCGTGCGTGCGTGCGTGCGTGTGTGTCCGTGTGTACATCTGTGTGTGTCTG